TGCCATAACATTCATTAACCAAAATGAGATTAACTTAACGTTGTAACTATAAAAAGTGATGCAGAAACTTTTTGTTCTTTTTGTAACGATTAATTTTTGTTGTTCAAGTAAAAATGGAATGCTAATGGCTTCCATATGATTGTAATCTTGGTGATAAAACCCAATTTTTCTTCCTGCACCATGTTTGAAGGCTCCACCGAAAATTGTTGAAATTTAAGATGGAGGACACTCCCAAATGAATACTGTTCATTCAGCCATCATCGAGTATCTTTTTTTTTCTCACCGCTTGAAAAGGATGTGTTTTTATTAATATCTAAAAAAGTCCTTGAATTAGAACTTAAACAAAATAAATCATTTCATTGAACAGTAATAAAAATTAGTAGACCACCCTAAATGAAAATATGAATTGATAAAGCGATTTGATTGTATCGCTGTATTTGTCGAAAACAAATCATATAAAAGTGTAACACAGAAAGCGTAAAAAGATGATTAAAAATGACTGATATAAATGTTAAAATGTGCAAAATATATAGATTTTATTGATTAAAGCATTATTTTGTGCTATGGTTGATGTAGGACTAAGGTGAAAGCTAAAATTACAATTTAGCATCACAAGGAAGAAGTAATACGTTGATATGGAGCTGCAAAATGTTTCATTATAAATAGGTCTCTGGGTGTAGAAATTTTCAACTTTTCTGATGGAGCTTTGGTTTACTGGCAGCAAATTTTTAATGAAAATATTTTTGTCTCTTTTCAGAAGCCAACCAAAAACGTCGGATTACTGTTAGCCGACCCCCCAGTAGTCACATCACTAGGGTGGATGAAGAGCCCCCTGGTGGAGAATCGAGTCGTAAAGGCAGTTTAACTCGTACGAACGTAGAAACTGTAGACAGGGGGGTCGGGCCAACACCAATCCCCCCACCGATACCACCTGATCCACGAATCCATCCATATTTTGGTTTTCATCCTAATATATTAGATCCTAGAAATGGTCTCATTGATTCACCTTACGGTAAGATCCAAATTATATTTGAAGGGCTGGAAAATCCAGTCATAATGCATAGTCTTGAACAGTGCATGTCATATTAGAATTTTGATGTTGGAAAGGAGATTGGCACAGTCTGGTCTTCAATAGCCTAATGAAGTATAAAACAGTAGTCTAGTTTCATTTTAGTTGGATTGTCACTTGCTAGGCAATTAGGTACTGTGGGTTGGAATATCATCAGGGTAAGAAAATTCCGATACCAAGGCTAGTGCATGCAAAGTCGCTCGGGGGTCAGCTTTTAACCTATGTCAACTAATAGCCTTGACTAAAGGTGTTTTATTAACTACATTAGCTACAAGGTATATTTTATCAAAGAATTTTGTTAATGAAACTGATTTGTATGTTTCAGGTCTTTCATATCCCCTACCACAAGTGCCATATCCTCCCATTAACGCACCCTTACCTCTAAATCATCAAACTTTAGAAGGTCGTTACCACTGGCCTCCCACATCTTCTAGTTTTCATTCTCCATTATCTGGGTGAGTATTATTTTGATGCCACAATGTCTCCAAAAGACTTAACTAACATAAAACACAAGAGATGAAAAATAAGGCCCCTAAAACAACTCTTTTAAACAATTTTGCTTTTTATTTGGGCAAAATGAAAGTACCTGATATCAAAACTATTCTGGTGTAATGTGGCGTTTTACCTACAGCAAATACCTGAACGCTATCAAGCTACCAACTAAAGTAACCAACATTAATTTTGTTACATTTCCAAGATCCAAGATTAAACCAAAGGGTAATGATTAACTTCAAAATTTGTAATATTTCTATTTTTCTTGCAGATTGTCCCCTAGTCCGTCTCATTCTGATGCCTCATTAATGAGTATGAGAAGTGGATTTGGATCCGGGGAGCCTGTAATGCAGTTAGCATCACGAATTCATCTGGAACAATTACAACGCAATATTTATTATAATAGTCCTTTACATAGTCGAAGATTTAGTGCTGCCAATTTACCTGGTAAGTTTGGTGATTTTAATAAAACCTTTGATGTTCTCCTGCTCATGTGTTAAGAGGCTATATCCAAGATATATCTTAGATACTATATGAGATCCTAGATGTGATATCACGATACTGTGTTAGGGATGCAATATGTATCGTGATACAGTATTATAAACTTTAGTGTTTATTTTACCTGTTTTCTGCTGATGTGAATTAAGAGCAGGCTAATGTCGCTGTCCTGGCAAAATTTCCCTCATTGCACCCTGCATGGCATTGCCCGTCTTCATTAGCCTGCATGGTGCTGAACAGTATGACGTAAAACTCCATTCATTTCATTTCATTTCTGCTGATGTATGATATTGTATTGTAAACTTAGTGTTTATTTCCCTTGGCTTCTGCTGTTGTTAAACCTCATTGCATACTCGACTATCTTGCAGTTAGTTAATTAGCATATTAAGAGCTCATCTTAAGCTATTGAGACAGTACAAATATTTGTGCTCGTGTAAATACAAATTAAATCATAAACCAAGCAGTGTACTTTTGTGAGATGAGTAGTAACAACACAATGCAAAGTCTGGTTTATATCTTTTGAAATTGAAACCAGGACTCAGTACATATGTTAAAAAGGACATTTTAAAGCACAGAAACCCACTGAAATTTCTCTTTCAGGATTAAACCAATCTGGTCAGGGATCATTAATCAGTGAATATCCCCCTCCATTATCTCGAAGTTTACTCTCCGATCATATTCCACCTACCCCTGGCAGTGGTAGTATAACTTTACCAGGGTCTTTAGAAGGTAAGTTTAATAAATAAATCAAGTACTAACGATCAGGGCTTTTTTTGCTCTGGCCATTTCAAATAGTTCTCTTACCATTCTTGCTTGTTTACCTGAAGGTCTAGAGATCAATACAAGCATGGGTAGAGATAATTCCCAGGTTTCCCATGTTAAACAAGTTGGTCAGAGGAGCTGACATGGAAAAAGTGTCTAGTCATTCAATGGATAAATACACCTACAACAAGGCTAGTTTTGTATTAGGGAATACTGAGAGCACTGTATCAAGCCAGAGCATCACTGTTTTGTAAAATTGCCAATATGGATGTTTGTGTGCCACGTTGGAAAAGATTTTAGTTTCTTAATAAAATGCAATATTTGCCCAAAATTGCAGTATTGAAGTTTTTCTTAATAAAAGATTGTTTCTTAACCCCTTAAATCTCATTTTTCAGGATCGAGATACGCCAGTCCACGACCCAGTATTGGAGGGGGAGTAAAAAACAGTCGGAAACGTGCTTTATCACATTCACCTATTTCTGATTATCTGGATATACAAAGCTTAACTCGAAGTTCTGAAGGGTCATTACAGTTAACTCCCTTTCCTCAACATAATTCTCGTAGTTCCAGTGCTGCCAGCGGCTCCTATGGACATTTATCTGCAGGTAACATCATTTAGTTACGATAGTAACCATATCGTTTAGTTACCATAGTAACCATGCCATTTAGTTACCATAGTTAGAATACCATTTAGTTTCCAAAACCAGATTGACAAATTATGTTAACAAGTCTATCAGCTGGTACTTTGTCAAACCTCTTAGCATTTAACTTTCACTGATTATTCGTACCCTTTCACAGCTGGGTCAACTAGAATAATGAGGAAAGATAACTTATTCAAGGTTAATTGATGATGAATTGTATCATTATTTGAAATGTATATATGATAGGGTTGAAAGCCAGCACTGGCTGTGGCGTCACAATTTTTTCATTCCATGAGAAGGATTCGACCCAATCAGCACCAAATCACCTAGGAGACGACAAGTTAACTTGCCACAGACTGAACTATTCTGTTGCCAAAATTGTATAGAGTTCTTCTTATTTTTCAGCCTCGTATGCTGCGGTCAGTCCAGCTCATCAACCGATGTCACAAAATCCTTATATCCGTCCGTATGGCAACATGCCACCTTCATCATTCTTCTACCCCCAGATGATGCCACAAATGATGGGTCGACCGATGCCCCACCATCTCGGCGGTCCTGGGTTACCCCCTACCTCACAACAACATGGTGTCAATCCAGTCAAATTTGAAGGACATGTAAGTCAGCTTTATCTATATTTGAGTTCCCCGTGTTAAACAGGACCATGTCACTTGGTGTGATAGTCCTAATTCTGTCATATAATAAATTTCAAAATTTCGTTACTGTGGTAACAAAATGTTACTATGATTTCAGATTTAATATTACAATTAAGATTTCTCTATGACAAGAATTACCAAAACTTTACTATGAATGTGCATTTTAGTTGCAAGAAATGTTACATGTAAATTTTTCCAGATTAAATGTGGGATATTAACTGGTGTGCATTATATTCGTAATTATACTGATGTAGACTTTTCAATTTTTAATTTAGCCTCACATATCAACAACAACCACTGGTAAAGATGCTAGTAGTAGTGTTGTCAGTAGTACCATGGATGCCCAGATTGAGATTAAAAAATCAAAAATCAAGAAAGAAGTCGATACACATCATGGTAAGGTCTATTGATATGGTTAACAAAACATGTGGTTTGTAGTCGGCAGAGATATTTGTGAACATTCTGGTTAATTTTAAACATAAACATGAGCTGTTCAGTTTATTCTTATGTGCCGTAGCAGTAGTAAGGAACAGTTTCTATGAATCTTTAGGTCCTCAAAATTATCAAGGGGGGGCTCATAAATAAATTCCATCCCTTTATAAAATTGTTAAGTCGGTGGGGTCAAATCCAGGATATCCTCAGTTCATAGGGAGAAAAGCTTCCTCTCCTATAGAAATGCTATCAAAGAATAAGGTCCATAACACCAATTTGACATGGTCCCATCTAACATCTAGACCATGAACATGAACTGACAATGACTTAGTTTAATTTCTATGAACAGAGCATTATGAAGAGGAAGAGAGAGGTAATGAAGGAGGAGAAGGTCATGGTAGTAATAAAGGTGGTAGTCATATACCACAGGAAGGGGAACCAGATTTTATAGAAACTAATTGTCATTGGGTGGACTGTTCACAGGAATACTCTACACAAGATGAACTGGTTAAGGTAGGTCTTGAGTTTTTATAAATATTTAAATGCAAATCTACATGGTGTTATTTCTTTCTGCAGGCCACTTCACTAGCCAATCAAATGAAATCTAATGAAATTCTTCTGCAAGGGTTTTAATTGCAATTTTCACCCATAATTTATGCTAGCCATTCATAAACATTTGGAATGTTGTAAGGCAATACAAGTCTTTTTAAACAGTAAGGAAATCTTTCATGGAATGGAGAATTTGATTGGTTGAATATTAGATGACTTAGAACATGGGATGCGTTAGAATTTTGTCGGATCACAGATGGCAAGTTGTTTCACTCAAAGGAAAGTATGTAAGATGCACAATTTAAAAGGCTTTGTCAGTTGTTGAAATTTAAAAACTTACCTCATTTCAGCATATCAATCAGGATCATATTCAGGCCAATAAGAAGTCGTTTGTCTGTCGGTGGATTGATTGTAGTCGAGAAGAGAAGCCATTTAAAGCTCAGTATATGTTGGTGGTTCATATGAGAAGACACACTGGAGAAAAACCACATCGGTGCACTGTGAGTTTAGTTTTAATTCCCTTATAATTTTGATATCCTTCCCTTGAAATCATCTTCCCACGTAATTCCAAGTCAACCAAGCTTTAATTGGATACAGATAATTCAGGAAAGATCAATGACAAGAGGTTTGGCCAAGGACCAGCTGGTAGAAAGGATCCTTAGTGGACCTAAGTTGTTATCATTGTAAAATATAGTTGTTTATTTCTTTCATTTGTTCCTTTGCCACACTTCCACAATCTGAATTTTTTTCTGAAATTTATTTTGTACATGTTTGATTTCAGTTTGAAGGTTGTAATAAAGCGTATTCCCGGTTAGAAAATTTAAAAACTCATCTGCGTTCACATACAGGAGAAAAACCTTACATGTGTGAATTTCCAGGCTGCAGTAAAGCATTTAGTAATGCTTCTGATAGAGCTAAACATCAAAATAGAACACATTCTAATGCTGTAAGTATCATACAAATTATTTGTAGATAGATATTAGTTTCTGTCTAAGATTTCCCTGTAGACTATAATTTCCTAACAATTTTTAAATTCACAAAGAAAAAAATTGTTGAAGATCTCAAGAAATTATTTTGAAAGACTGATAAGAGGACGTCTTTTTTGACATTAATTGAGTTACTTCCCTTGTTTAAGATGTATATAAAAAAAATGAAATGAAATAGAAACTTTTTTTTTGCAATTGATTCGGCTAATCGAGATGATCCAAGCACTGCAGTGTGCATCACTGACAAGGGGTAATGGGGTTGAAAAAATCCAAAGGGATAATCTCAATTGAACCCCATGGACCTGAAGTGATTGATCTTCAGGTTAGCAATCTAACTCACTGAGCCACCGCGGTTCCAACACTTTTGGTGAAATGTATGTCTGAACTATAAAACAATCTGTATTTTGACTATTTCAGAAACCGTATGTTTGTAAAGCTGCTGGTTGTACTAAACGATATACTGATCCTAGTTCATTACGTAAACATGTTAAAACAGTTCATGGTCCAGAGTTTTACGCAAACAAAAAACACAAATCTAATGAACCTCACTTTAAAAAGGAAGAAGATCCGGTAAGATCTGGGGTTTATTTTGTTGTTGAGAGATGTTCTAGATTTTGTATGCTTGTCATGGCTTTTTTTTGTATTACAATAACTTCAGATAGATGTATGAAACCAGTAAGTAATTTAGATTTTTTGTTTATTTCAGGATAAAGATCAAGATGAAGGTGAAAGTAAGAAGGTTGAAGAATGTCTGAATGTTTCTTCTTTACAAACAACTTCTGGTGAACGTAGAAAATCACAGGTAAGACACTTGTGTTTTCAGATATTTTTATTAGGAAATAGGGGTGATATGGGATCGCTCATATATATTGTTACCATCAATATTGACTTGTTCAATTTGTACAATGAGTTAACAGATGAGTTGGTTATCACATAAGTTCTAGAAGATGTGGTGGTTCTGTGAGTTAGACGCTTGCTCGCTAAACCAAAGGGCATGGACTTGTCGTTATGATTATCTATGAACAATTTGATATTTCTGTATTTCAGGATCATATGGGATCTACAATATCGCAATCCAACCCATCGCCTCAGAGCAGTCCCGAGGTGAATGTAACCAATAGCAACCATCCTGAGTTTATAGATGATAATATTAACAGTGGAACCGGATTCACTGGCGGTGGAATCGAGGAAGAAGTAGATATTCCAGAACCTGATGAGGCTGATGTAAATATTCAAAATATATTGATATTTCAGGGCTTTTTAAAAATTTTTTACATGTCTTATTGTAATGATGTTTGCTTTTACTCAATTTCCAGTTGAAATTAAAAGATGAAGAATTCCTAAATATTTGCACATGCCCGTATTCCATTTGATGACCTTAACATTATTTGAGGTCACTTAGTAAGGGTTGCTTCATTCTGTTATACATCATTTAATCATGTGGCCGTTAGGAAAGCCACTAGTATTGAAGGGATTAATAATAAAGCCTGTGTTTTTTTTCAGATTCCTGGGTCAGAAACGTTGATAACATTAAGAAATCGAATCAACTCAAGTCATTTATTACCAAATAGATTAAAAAATCGTGTCAATCAATCCATATTACCTCAAATTCCCACCATTCATAGTCCAGGTAAAATTTGTTTTGCAATAATTTTGAGGACAGTCTGTAGCACACTTGGTTAGAGTGTTGGAATCGTGACAAATAGTGGTTGTGGGTTCTCATCTAGGGGCTGTAGCACATTCAGTTAAAGCAAAGGAAAGAGAACAGGAAATTTTTGTTGGTTATGTCAAACAAAGGGGGTTGAGAGTTCTATTCTCAGTCAGAGTGGGTACGTCTGATGACTTGTCATCTTCCCTCCTTATTCAAGTCAACCCATCTGTGAAGGGTGTGGATTGTCTGAAAGATCAAGGCCAATAAGTTTGGTCAAGAAACATGGTCTTACAGAATTAATGCCCTTGACTTACCTAAGATTTATAGAGAACTAAGTTTCCTTAATTTTGATTGACACATTAAGTCCCGCCTACAGCACATGCATAAGAGACAGTCTTATTCTATTAATTGGGTTATTTTTCAGGTCGTAATAATAATAATCCAGGTCAGACCACAATTAATGATTTAAATAATAAAGTTAATCAAATTAAAACCAGTCCACAACATAAACGTATTACAGACTTAGCTAGTAAGATACTTCTTTCACATATTACACTTCTGCATTGTAAGCCTGCGTGGTGTCAACATTCAACCCCTATTAACCCTTTTCTGTCCCTGGCTACCTGTTAACGAATGGTTGAAACACTGTCTTTTTGTGGTAGTGGAATAACCCCATCTCTATCAAGTGGGATTATCATCTTCTAGGCGCATGGGTCAGAATTATCCTCAAGATCTTCATTGACACTTCAATCAAACTTTTTTTGTATTTTTCAGCTCGTGATATGTGTAACAATAATAATAATAACAATATGTTATTGACGAACAATCGAAGAGACAGTAATACCAGTACTATGAGTTCGTATCTTAGTAGTATGAGGTCTGATATTAGTCCGTATCCGTTTGGTAGTAATTTCTCGAGCAGACGGTCTAGTGAAATATCCAATGTGTCAAACAGACTGAGTATAGCGAACTCTCCGTATGAGTATGATATGACAGGAAATCTACCGTATCATTCGCGTCGTTCGAGTGAAAGCAGTGGTGTGACAAATGTGGCGGATAAATTACAAAAAGCAACTCTTGGAAGTCAAACGACGTTACTTCCTCAATCCAAAAATACCGGTATCAGTAACTATAGAGGAGTGAATAAATATGCCAACGAAAGACTAGCGCGTTATTTCGCACATCAGAAAAATGATAGAGACATGGATATTCGAACTTGTACACCGATTCGCACACCTTTACCGAATGATCTGCCAAATCGTGAAATCCGACGAGCGAGTGACCCAGTGAGAATTCTAGATCCAAATTTCCATACGTTAAAACGAGTTCAAAGGTGCCATAGCTGGAGTACTGTGAAACCACCCTTGCCTATTCCTCAAGGAATGAAAAGTTTACAGCATAAAGATCACGGATCAAATCATACGTTTCATTCTTCACGGAGTAGTATCGCAACGGATTATAGTCTCGCAGAAGATCAGGAATATAATTCTCCGGGTGGTTATATGGAAATGGATCACGAGGCGGCGTTGGAAGTGAAAATGATCGAGGATAACGAAGACATGATTATTCCGGACGACATGCAACAGTTTATTAACGAACGCTACAGTGATGTGAACATGGGCGATTTCGATCCCAATATGATGCATCAGCAAATGATGGAGAATATGGGATCGATGCAAAATTCTCCCTACCCTAATCAATCTCCCAATATGCAGGGAAATTATAACAATTTACATGTTCAGGGCTATATGGAGAACCATGGGGGTAATGGAATGGGGATGAACGGAGGTCAGCCCAACCAAGGAATGATGCAACACAGCTGGAATCAAGGATACGGTGGTCAGAATATGCCAATGAGAAACATGCAACAATCTCAGGGACAAGGAAATATGCAGAATCCTAATATGATGAATGGAATGAGCACTGGAGGACCCTACCCCCCAAACATGACCTCTCAAAATATGATGGGCATGCAAGGTAAAATGGGTAATAATCAAATGAACCAATGGAATCCTGGTTTGATGAACTCTAATCAAAGCATGATGCCTCCACCCCAGTCACCCATGTACCCAGTCCCTCCCCATAGCAACATGATGAATAAAATGATGACCAATCAAAATCCGATGCAGCAGATGAGACCTGGCATGATGTCACCAGGTCAAAATAAACAAGAACGAGAAAGTCCTAAAGTTCAAGTACCTCATATTAGCCAGTCACAGATCCCTCCAAATGCTAAAGCCGTCAATCGGCAACAAATGATGCGACAGCAACATCAACAGCAAATGATGCACCAGCAGCAAATGTATAACAACATGCAATACCAACAAATGAACGGCAACAACATGGCCATGCAACAGCAACATTACATGGCAAATAATATGCAACAAAATATGTCTCCTGTGGGTCAAGAACAAATACCAAATATGCAATATATGCCTCATCCACCCATGTATCCTCCTAATTCTAACCCAGGTACTGGGGGACCCTTGTCCAACGGTCCTGCACCGAGTCAAAATACACCACATAATCATTTAGAACGATCTCCGGGAGCCAATCAGGTGACAAGTTCGACAGATCGTAAAGAGACAACTGCGCCACCTATTGAAGACTTCATAGAAAATCCAAATTCTGTATCTGCTGAAAATTTATTGGACAATATTGCATCGATCTCGACTGAGAATCTAGGTAACGCTATGTATAGTCCTGTACCTCCATCACGTTCCACATCTCAAGCCTCCTCGCGTATTAACAATGTATTAAATACATCCAATATGGTCGTCAACGATATGACTAGTTCTATGCTGCTAATATCAGAAGAAGAAAATAAATATCGCAATATGCGAAGCTAGGAGCAGAAGTACGGAGCAGATGTGCTGTTTATTGTGCCATTTGTGTTGTTAAGGTCCATGCCATTTCCAATTCCGTTTTTTCTTTGTATGTTGAGCCTTTTTTCTGACTAGCAGAAAGCAGTGTGTTTTCTTTAAAGATGGATTCTGATTGCTTTAAAAACTTTAAAAATTTGCTATTCTTAAGTTTGGTTACAACAATAAACACCCTTTATTGCATGAATGAGCTCTTCCAATAATACATATACAGTATGCTGGTGATAGGAAGAATGCATGTGTGGAAGAGTTCAATAGAAAGTTTAGGGGTGTAAAATAGTTTTCTAGCTCACTTTATTTAGTTCTAATCTAGTTTTAATCTAAAATGAATGTTTTTGAGGAAACCATGCCCCTTCATCAATGAAATAGTAGAATTGGGCTTGGCATTGGCAATAGGTTCATCTATTCATATTGAATATGTCATGCAAATTAGCATTTTAGTGCAAATATAAAGTTGTGTTCATATCGTTATGCTTCTATACAAGCAATGAGGGTAAAATTGCATTTCATTTAAAAACAAATCTCATGCAAGTGAAATTCTGTGAAATATATTCATAATATCATAATTATTGTCTATTTCATATAAGATGGTTGATTTAAACATATCATAATGTGCATTTACAACAATGTTTTAAGCAAAATATGAATTTGTACAAGCAATCTGATCATAGTATGTTGACTTTTGTAAAGCCTTTGATAGCTATAAATATGAAAGATAAAGGAGATCCTCAGAAACACAATACTTTTTTGTGTGTTTGAATCAAAACGGCAGATCTACTGGTAACTTCTCCATGTTTGTCAAAATACCATTTTTATTTCTTTAATCTATGCATAACATTTTATGGCATATTTTACTAAAAGGAAAAAAACCAAGTGGCTTTTTTCCGTAAATGTCAAAAATGGCTCTCAATTTTTGCAGACTATGTTTATCAAAGCTGTGTAGAGTTTTTATTAGTTTAACATGGTGCTAGAAATTGTTAGATTTTGAATCAAAAAATTGTTGAGTTTTTCTCATTTCATATCTCATCTGTTAAAGCTTTATTTGTTACCATTATCTGATATCTGTTTTTAATGTTTGTATTTTAAACCTGTTTGCCCATTGTAATTTGTATCAGTAAGCAATATTTTTTATACATTTATGAGGAACATCCTGATTGATGCATAAGAATTCTAATATACACTAAGGTAGAGCAGGTTAGAAATGTTATTAGAACAGCAATGGAGCAATACTGTTAAAGAAACTATTGAGAAGATAAATATAAATCAGGGCTGTAAATACATCACGGCAAATGTCTCATGTAGAATTTAACAAACAATATATTTTCTTACAAATTGATAATGATTCCATGCTAAATGTATTGATTATTTGATATCTACAGTTCAGGTGGTCACCGTTTGAAGTCTACTGAAAGCACAGGATGAAAGACATAAATGGTCACGTGTTCTCAAAACGATCTTAGTGCTTGGACATTCTAAAAACAGTGTTAGAAAATAAAACCCTAGGACATCTTAGAATCAATGTTAGAAAATAAAACCCTAGGACATCCTAGCTCTAAGATCATGTAAAATAACCAGTGATAATGCCATGATGATCGTCTGGTGTAAAATCTACTATTATTTCTGTAAAATAACCAGTAATAATGCCCTGATGATCTGCTAGAGTAAAATCTATTTGTTATGTTAATGAAATAATAACAAAAAATTCTCAATGTTATGTTTATGTATATAGATATTTTGTCTAATGAAATCCGAAAGTGCTATTGTTTTTTTAAGATTTTAATATTTCCATAATACTCTTTAACTTTAGGGTACTTTTTTCTTTTTATATTCTATTATATATCTTGTATCTCTTTTTTAAAACCTTTCGCCTTTTTCTCCTCCGTCCTGAAGAGTGTCTGATTTTTATCTCAAATTTTTTGTCATTGCACACTGCATGGTGTTGCCCATTCTCATTAGCTCAGAAGGTGCAGAAAATTAGGACGAAAAGTTTCATTTGTTTTGAAAAATTCAGATTCATATTTCAGACAATGCATGTAGTACCAGAGTTTCAATTAAAATATTAACTTTTTGAGAATCTGAAATGTTTTGGTCCGTATGTCTCAAATCAAGCCATCATAAAATTTGAGTTGACTAATGTGACTTTGTTATGAATATATCCATGCAAACTATTCTTGTGGTTGTGTTATTTCAATCCCTCCCTCTAAGCATAATATTTTTTTACCTATTTCTTATATCTTAATTGGAAGCATAATCAAACAGTTGTTAGGGGTAACAGAAAGAAAAAGGGTTAGAAAACACTACCCTACTTCCTTCTAAAATTTCCTTTAATGTTCTTTTTTATAAAAGTTGTTATATTTCAATGTTCGTTACTGCGGCATTATACTTAATATGTAAAATAGAAAATACATCGATGCATGATGGTATATTTTTAATGTTTATAGAGAGGCATGTATGATTTTTTTTAGAAGATTTTAGAGTTTATCATATTACGGACATGCATAATAAAATTATGTACATATGGTCATATTTTTGATGTTATCATTATATATTTTAGAAATCGTCATTCATATTTTCATAAATAAATCTTACTAATGATATATAACAATATAGTTAGCTATTGCTAATGTAAATAAAACTGCCTATCAACATTTACTAGACTTGTTATACACCCACATAATGCAAGTCCTCATTCACAAACAGTGGAGTCAAAGGAGGGGTCAAAGAATTATCAAAGGGGCTCATCGGCATTCTTTCCCTACATATAATAAGATTTAACAGATTTGGGGAAAAGGGGGGCGAACTGGGACCAGCCTCAATTCAAGCCCCCCTCCCCCCTCACAAACCTAACTCAGAAAGATTAAAAAGAAAGTAAGTATTTTCCTTTTGTAGACTATCAAAATTTTGCAGGTCAATGTAAGTTTGGTAGATTTTTAAACTTTTGCATGCATTTTCTTACCAAGAGAAAATTGTTGTTTATTTCTAGATAGTTGTTGATGGATAGAATAACAATAATAAAATAATAAAAATGATTTTATTAAATAAAAAGTAAACAAACCTTTTAAAATATGCAAAACTAATAAATACACAATAAATATAAAGCTTCATTAAATTGAGACAATGTGATTAAATGCTAAATCGTGAAGGAAAAATAAACTTCGTCGTTTTAACATTCCAAAGCTGATTATTCTGGAGACGTGGATTTGAAGGCCAATGGTGAGCTTTGGACACTATTACTGATTGGCTAACCTACATTCTGGTTTCTGAGACTATGGTACGAATGGTCAAAAAAATGGTGCATATGTCCCTCGAAAGGGTTGTAAAGAGATTTTCTAAACTTTTTATGTGTATTGTAGAAATTAAAAGCATCAATTTGTACCATTCCTAATTTCAGTCAGAAAAGTAGGACGTAAAACTCCATTCATTTCATTTCATTCATGGTTCTTGCAATTCCGCTAAAACACGTAAAATGTTTACAAAACACTAAAGCCAAAATACTGAAAACATTGCCAAATGGTTTTCAGTTCAGTAAATAGCTAACAAAGGTTGAAACAATTGTAAATATGTGTTGAATTATCATAAATATAAATATAAAAATCTGTACAAGCAAGACAATTCCGTTCATCAAATTCCCCTCCAAAGCAAGCCAAAACCGAGAGCAAAGTATGTATAGTAGTGGACTCTTCCAAAGAGAAGTACCATCAGGTGTTTCAAAAAAAGCACGCATGGTATGGTTAGGGTTAGGTTGGATACTCTCAAAAAATGAGAAAGATATACAGTTTGACTTTGCTGAAATGGTTTTCCATAAATATTCCGAATCGACGAAATACAGTGTGGTTGCTTTCATTGAATCATTGGCTCTCACACTCCTTCCATCTATACACGGACATTATATTAAATATTTTAATAATGGTTTCAGTATGTCATAGCTTCAAATAGCCCACAGTTTAATACATGCTGAAATAAACTGACAAATCTCAACAAAAATTTAAAAAAATTGAATATCAAAGCCATTTATACTTACACTAAAATGTTGAAAATTAACATATTTTGCTAAAAATTATTTGGAAGAAAAGACTCCACATAAAAATCTACTCAAAGAAAGTTGACATACTTGTATCAAGCTGTCCAGCACTCATCGCAGAAAAATAAGGGGTAATTTTAGGGTTAAAATTAAAATAACAAACAGATGTGGGGGTGTCCAAGTTGATTTTGTCAATTGATCTCATGTGGTTGAAAAGTTTTCAATGTGAGTCTAATCAGTCTGAAGCGTTCAAATACAAACGAAACTAGTCACTGATATTCAGGGATAATGGGTTGCTTAGCCAATCTTTATCTCTAATAGGAATTTTATAATTAAATTTAGGCAATACTTTCGCACATTTGACAATTAAAAAAATTACAAAAATACTTGAGCTCCATGGTTGAGATTGGTGGATCTTCCCCTTGATTTCAACATTTTTAAGGAATATTAGCAAAAATGGAAAAAAGTAGGATTTTTTAGGAATTTTAGGGCCCCTGGACAGCCTGTTGTATGAAAATATGAACACAATTCAATAAAGAAATTAACAAAATTAATATCATATTTGAGCCCGTCAATTCTTGTCCTAATCAGTTCCTCAGGGTTTTCAAATTTAGGGTAATTTTCACTTTTTTGGAGGTAATGAGGTGCTTTGCCGTATGGCATAAGATTATAATTATAATTAAACCTTAGAGAAAATCACAAAATAGTCAGGATTTATAGGGGGTAATACAATGAATTACGGGTCCTGAAAGGGGTAATAGAAAGATAAAGGTTGAAAACTGCTGTCATACATAGTAATAATATGACAGGAATAAATCAAGTCTGAGCAACTTGGTAGGACCAGAGTTTTAGGCAAAACAACAAACAGAACTAAGATTGCATATTAATAAAAATGTCTAAAAAATGCTTAAGGAAGCCTGAACTGAAAATTTGCCATTTGTGCCTCCATGTAAATATTCATGCACTGAATTCACCAAAAGTGAACATATAATTAATAAAGCTTTTTTGATTTAAAAACCTGATAAATAGGTTCTCTAAAATGTACCTAAATTTAAAATACAGTCTTCTAAAAATAAAGGAAAATATCTGATGCTTGTAAAGAGCAATGCTACAATCATTTGGCCTATGTTTAATTCTCATAATAATAAATAAAAATAATAATGGTGATTATAACCAGAAAAGACAACCTTGGTTCATGTAAATTAGTAATTAGCCCTCTATGGTAAGTTCTTGACAGGTCACGTCTGTTCCAATTGTAAGCTGCAATTGAATAATAAGGAACCTGATATTTCAAAGTCAAAATTTACCGTTTCATTCCTTGCTTGATCATTTTGAATTCTATCTGTCAGTGCACTTGGAACTCATTCTGAACCCTGTTCCAACTATTTGTATTGTATGTCTGGTTGATTTAATAAATCGCAAACAAGCATAACTCACCGATCAAAAACCACCCAAAGTAGCTTTGTTAAAATGGAGAGATGGCTTTAGATTATCATTTTCATAAAATACTTAGTATACTGTTTATAAGAAATATAGAAATAGGCTTGGGTAAAGAAGCACAAGATATATAGATATACTATTTCTGACATTTATTAACTCAACGTTTCACATGCTGATACAGACAGCGTTATCAAGAGAAATTATTTCTCTATTTCTCGTCTGTATGAGTATATGAAACGTTGAGTTGATAAATGTCAGAAATAGTATATCCATATATCTTGTGCTTCATTACCTAGTATACATCTTTCAACAGACCATTCCTTTCTATAATACAACTATAACTATAACATCAAAGGTTAGGTATTTTATCATGAATTAAAGCTTTGATGGTTAAATACAGGTGAATATCAGGTTGTTATTCATAATATGATATATACATCAGAACTATTAAAACAATCCAGTTCAATCTAGAGCATTTATACAAATTTGAAACTCAAATATTGCTTAACAAGACATGTATTTCTCATAGATATATGCTTCTAAACACAACTGAGTATAGATCTGCTACCACAATCCATAAAATATAATCCAAAGTTCCACAAATCTGAAGAAAAATATGGCTTGATGCTTAGGACATGGATTTCTTGCTTCCAACACATCTTCAAACAAAATCTAGAGTAAGTTATTCTTTCTTATAATAAGATAGAAGAACACGATAAGAGTCTGAGCTTTGATAATAAAGTTTACGTTCCGTGAGACTTGTAACTTCGTTTAAACTTAAATTAAAAGCTTCTAGTCGTTGTAGTTCACTGAATCTTTGACGTAACGTGACAGGGTTAAAGTTACTTGACTTTAAAACATCCACATTGGCTGATACATGATCTATCATCTGTAATAAGTAAAAAAATATGTTAGTTCTAATCAGAATTTTTGCTCCTGGATAATCTTCGGATGTCGTCAAGAGTGCGTTTAATTTAGCTGTCCAGTATTCTCGAAACAATCTTAACCCAAGAACATCTTAGAAACAATTTTGGAAGTTAAGACCCTAAGACATCCCAGAACTAAGGTTGTTTCGAGAATACAGGGTCTGGACACGACATGAAGTTGTAATTTCAAGATGGCCGAGAAAACCATAGCGTCTGATTGGAATAGTTTCATGTGATAAAGTCTTAGATATTTTGATATATTATGATAGATTCAATAGAGATATTTAAGAAGAATCACTCAATACAGGTTTGAACCTTGTGGATCCTTAGAAAATTAAACATTATTGTGGATATACTACTCTTTCCTTGTGAATCCTGTTTAAAAACGGATTTTATACAATTGCCTTTAAAGATGTACTGGGATGCATTCAGTATTCGTGATGAACAAGACTTTTGCTGTGAAAATTAAGATTATAATTGAATAAAAAATCATAGTTTAAGACTTATCATATAAAATAGACTTACCTGTAATAAACCAGAGTCTAGTATTGGAGATAAAACCGTCCAAAATAAGTCAGAATTACTGATATAGAAAATATTGACTTCATCTGGCTTGATATTCCTTGATATAATCTCTTTCATAGCCGACTGATTTTTATCTTTTGACAAACTATAATAAAAGAAAATACTAAAAGTTTTTATGGGGTTTATGAAGATGTCAAACATTATGTAATGTACAATGGAGAGGCAGCGCCAAATTTCTAAATTTGAAAAAATGATTTTTATAAGATTTTGCCCCAAAATATATATCATAATGTACAAAACTTTAACCATTTTTCAAAAATTTTCTTGTGGAACCCTCTATAATGCTCCATGAGACGATTGCGACTTTGCCACCTCCACAGAATTGCCGCATTCTCGTCCTCGACAGAATATTTATAACTGATTTTGACAGGTATACTATTACAAATTCCTTGTTTCCTTTTCACAAAACTCTTATAGTCAATTTTATTCTTAGTATGGTATTATTCAATGTAAAATTCAACACTTTCGAATTCTTATCATAAAGATATTTTGAGGAACTGGGAACTTTCAAGAAATGAACAAATTGAAGAAAACTTACTGCTTTGGAAGAAGAAATTCGGCAGGTTGTGATGATGATGGAGTATTTAAATCTATAATATTATGAATCTTACATTTACCAAATTCTTGACTAGGATATAAATTATGTGGAGTGAGACTGAAATAGTAAATATTTTAATTTATTATTGGGAGAAAATCGAACAACACAAACAATAGTCAGAAGATAATAATAAATAATAACACAGAACATATGCACTATGGCAAATAATATCACAAAATATCATAAAATACAGATTGAAATATTAAAACAGAACCTAAACAAACATGTAGCTGTTGAGTTTCCAATATGCGATCTTCGGACAACAAATACAGATTATGTATATATTGTAAAGAGGTTTTCTAAACTTTTTATGTGTATCAGGGACACTGATAGCATCGATTTCAATTTTCAGTCAGACATATTTGGTTCTAGCAATACAATTAAAACTACAGAGCTATCGTAAAGTCCCTTAGATATTATAAGAAGCTTTTGCAATAGTGACGTCATATTTTGGTTTATATTTCTATAATTACAGGAACCACAGGCATCTTGTGGAAAAATGAATATGGCTTCCATAAATGGCCCTTGCTACGTATAGAAAAAGCTGGAAAATGTCTTAACGATCCCTCTACTAAAGATTTTCACAGAATAAAATAAAATAAAATGAATGGAGTTTTACGTCCTACTTTTCTGCTCCATGTGGGCAAATGAAGACAGTTTCACAGAATAAAGGTACCCACCTAAAAATATGAATATTGCATATTTTATGAGATGTTTTTCGTAACAATGAACCACAGACGTGAAAGATGGAGTCTTGTGGATTAGGGAAGGGATAAGCTTCATCACATTGTTGTTGTTTCTCTTCCACATAATCTAACAATCTTTCTTCTTCAAACTCATATGAACCTGAAAATATATATCATTAAATACATCCTCTCTTCAAGATGACCTAAGCCATGATATTTTTGTACCATGTTTCCCTTTAGCAGGTAAACCTGTTATTAGATATTGTGTTGAGAGCAGACACCTTGAGGAGGATTCGAACCCAATACCCACTGCACCTAATTGCCTAGCAGACGACAATCCAACTAGCTACCAACTGAGCTATTCCACTGCTACATTGGGAATTGAGATAATACTTATTCATTCATGATGTCATATGATTTTCAAACTGGCCAATGAACATGCTTGCTTGTAGTATTTATTTTTTGTTTTGTAAATATTAACACACAGTCAAACAAAAGTATGAGCAACTCTTCTTATTTAAGAATTACAAGAAATGCAAATAAAGTAATATTCAAATTAATTAGAAAATAAACTGAGAAAGAACATGAACCATCACAACGGACATTCAATAAAAAAAACCAAAAAGAAAAAAAATATAAAAGAGATTATTTACCATCAATGGAAGGTGGATACATGATAGGAACAGTAGGTCCAGGGTTCCGTATCCAAGATAAATAATATCGGCATGATTCCATCATTGTGACTTGAAGACAGAGACTATCTGATGCTCCAGTATGATACAGGCGGAGTCCAGCCTCGTAAAATACAATATACAACGTACGATACCAGTGGTATAAATAATCATCATCGATCTTATCTACAAAATTACAAATTGTATCTTCTGAACAAGGGGGTAATTTAAAAATTGTAATTGCCATACTTGATGCATCATGAAAAATTTGATTTTCTTAGAGATTTTTACAGAGTTGAAAAAGCAAAGAATTGGTTTCTGCTTTACTTTCAAAAGTGCTAACCATCGAAATACATATATAGGATACAGATTGTATTTTTTTGCCTAATCCGTTGTCTCCACATTTTGACTGGTACAAAGCTATTTGGAAAAATTGAACCACTGTCTCATCTATGTATTGATAAGGGGGTGTTGTCTACAACGAGGTGCTTAGAGGTAATCGTAACAGTATTAATACCATAACTTACCTATATCTATCAAAATATGAAGTTGTTTTATCTTTGATAATATTTTATCCTTCACTAAATAGTACAAAAGTTCGTGAGACTCGGACATGTCAAATAGTGACTCTATTTTCAAAATGTCTAAATGGTCATGTTTTAAATTCACCATTATATTGTTCAAAGTTTGAGTATCATAAGAGTTCCGACCGAAATCGGCAGGATCATTTGGCACAATTATAGTTTTAAAAGAACGAGTTCCATTGATTTTCTTTAACAATGGAGATGCTGGTTTAAACAAGAAAACAAATTGTTGAAATGAAAAGTTACGAGCTAAAATCTCTTCGAAGCCAAGTTCCTCGTCAACCCTGAAAGGAGACAAGGAAATTTTCTAAAAAAACATGAAATTCTAAATTTGATGCCTCAATAAACAAGCATATTGAATGAATCCAGTTCCTCACCTGCTGCAGATAAATGTTTCTGGTTATGGTTCGACGCAACAGGTGCCCCTTGAATAGAGAATTGGTTGAAACTTGAATAGGGGAAACAGCACATGCTGAATACGAGTGACCATTCCTACATTATACAAATTTGACTAAGGCTACTTACCCCAATGAGTATGATAATTTTGAAATGTAAGGATCTGTACTAATACCAACATCAGGGTCCATACAGATCTTCCAAGCTGTATAGTTGCCCAGATATATAGCGTCTTTACACTGATAATGATAATGGGTAATGAACTTTAACAGTCTCTGTGCTTCACTTTCAGCATTGGCTAACACTTTGAGAGGGCTGAATTCTTGCTGGAAGTATGTGACTTGAATAACCAAGTAGACTACAATACCCAGACACAATGATGACACCACCGTTTTCTTTCTGCGAAATAAACCCATTTTGACAAGTCTCAAGTACCACAGCTTCATTTGAGATCAGCAAAATCAATGTCTACTTGATTAATATTTAAATTCTGCTCCTAATTTTGATGTACATTGATGTACATCATCATTCCGATCTATTTTCTGTAATAGCAGATGTCACTTCTCCATTTTGTAACCTGACTGAAAAAAAATCATAAAATCCATACCAGCTGAATTTAGATAGCATCAAAGGTTTAATTAGATTGTCTTATATTTTATCTTGCCAGGACATTTTCACTATAGTCCATACCAAGCTTCTGGTATTTATCTTCAAGGCACTGTTGCGGATTCACCCATTCCCTCCCTTCCCGTTTCGTGCTATCAATGTAAAACTTGGCAGAGAGGAAGAGCAACAGTGACATAAAGATAAATGTAGCCTAATTTCGTATTTGCAAAAGGAAAACTTATAAATAAAAATAGCATTTGTTTTCAATTCAAAATAACAGATCCTACAATCTAGACTCATCTGGCCGACATAAGAGAAAGCAATCACTGTATCAATAGCCAAGCAAGAAAAATCATGAGCTAGTTTTTGAGAGTAGGCCTTGTTTGCAAATCACAGACACCTATCTATTCTATAATATTCAACAGTGGAAACAATAATAACAACGATTCAGAAATATCAGTCCCCCAGCTCTGACCTAATTTTTGCATAGATTACTATAGATAAGGTGTGGTCAAAATAAATCCTACATTACCAGCATAAATTAGTAGAAAGTAAACAAATAGTGTTGGATTTATCGACAGGCAGGTGCACTTGCTTTGTTGAATTCTAGTTCTATGCAGCCAGCCAAACAAGTACAACGAGCAAATTATCACGTGACAGTAATATTGGTCAAAATGGCGGATGTCAGTTATTGAATTTTTCCAAAATTTCCTCTTAAATCACTACGTCTAGTCCATTTCATTTTTTAAACAAAAGGTGCATTGTATTGTTCAAGGTATTGTACATCAGTTGACACAAGCTGCAGTTTTAAGGTTATTTTATCGGGGATTTTTGAGTGCATAATGTGTCACTAGACCTAGATTAAAATAAGACAAAAATTCAATGTAAGCCTAAAGCATTAGATTATCTGGTATCTATGTATGTAATTCAGTTTCCAAGAAGGAAACAAAGAGCAATTTAATCTCCAGCCTCCTCGAACTGGGGGCACAAGTCTGGTTCAGACTGACTTAATGTTGATGACAACTGTCGTGGTTGAGATGTCAGAAGCCCTATGGAGGCGCAATAAGCACAAGCCTGGCATGGAGGGCTCTCCCCCTAGAAAATTTTACAAAGAAAGAATTGACTTGGTTCAATCTACAGATATTTTAGGGCAAAAATATATTTAGAAATTTCTTAGAAGTTGGTGCATAAACTTGAACTTAATTTATCTGTATCCCCATACTGGTCAAACCACTGTCAACGAGATTGACAGAAGTGTGATTTATCTTTTTTTTTGTTGAAGCAAAAGAAAAAGATGTCTCTAGGAATTGTGGAAAATGATAAAGTACCTGATTCCCCACCACCATCACTTTGTCAAGGTTTGAAATCCTACTTTATTCATTTTTTTATTTGATAAATATGTTGTTTCCCAACAATGCATTTAAAAACAGCTTGAGAGACTACGTGTCCTTCGCCTTTTTATGTTTAAAGGAATACTACCTCTTAAAATGAAGATATAATTATATTTTTATCAGTGGACCCAGTGTCATAACTAAAGAAGAGAATCTATTAAACAGAGTATATCTTGAAAAATGCTTGAAAAATTTCTAACTATTTTTTAATAATTACTGTACTTATAGTTTTACAAATGTTTTGAATGACAGAGGGATTTTGTTAAATTTATTATAATTTTTTTAGATCAAAGAAATGACAAGTTTCCTGAAGTGGTAACTGAAGTTTCTGTGAAAATCAAAATTAATGAAATATTAGAAAAACTGAAAGCAGCAGACGACCTCGCCTCACAGGAGCATTATGAAGATTTTCGTTATTTGTGGCAAATGTGCAGATATTCAACCAATACATCATTGAGAAAAATTGTAGTATATACCTATTTAAATGAAAATTTTTTATCAATATTTGAAAAATTCTGGAAATTGAAAGAAAATTGTAATATTTTTGATGCTCAAAATCAATGGTTGTGGAAAAATTTCCGAAGCGCCATTTCTGTGTTGTGGAACTCGAGTGATGCCTCCAGTGCAATATGTCAGCAATTTGCTCGAACATCATTACTTGGACAATTTTTGGAATCCCTTAAATATTTTTCTGTCCAACCTAAGTTCGTAGAAGATGACCAAAAACTGTATTTTGTGAAAGCAATGCTAGGAATTCTTCACAATATTGTTAATAATTTTGAAGAATCGAAAACCATGATACGAAGCTTCAATGGAATTGAAATTCTGCAGAGTTTTCTAATTTTTGATAACAATATGGTCAAAGCAAAAGCCTTGATTACCTTGTCTTATATTATTGACGAAGATAAAAATGAAACTATCAATGCCGAGAAGGGGGTTATCAACTACATTGTAGAAATGTTAAAGGATAGTCTCAGTTCTCCAGACCATTTCTCATCTAAATATGGTATGAGTGCTTTAGAAATTGCCGAAGGGTTGAATAACATCGCAGTCAATGATAACAATAAGATTAAGATTGTTCAGTGTAAGGCCTTGCCTCTGTTAGTTAAAATGATGAAGCTGGATAGAAACAGTCAGTATCTTGGTGTCATGGTTTTATGGACTCTGGCCTTCAGTCCTGTCAACTGTCCTTCTATTTCTAAAGAACCTGGGTGCTTGGAAGGTAAATTTCTGGTAATTTTTTTACTATTTATGATGTTGATGTCCAAGACTAGGTATTGTGTGCCAGTCAGTTAGCTGATACCACAATCTTTCTATTGAACTCTTCCACACATGCATATTTTCTACTAATATGACTGCTGTATATGTTGGATTGGAAGAGCTCATTTGTAAAATTAGGGGTGTATTTTGTTGCCTGTCAAATCGTTTCAAGCCATGTTAATGCCTTGTTGACAAGTATTGCTCATAGAATAAACTGCAAAAAATGTTCAAACAATATCAGTTATACCCAAGAGACGAAGTCAAAGCCAATAAGTCTGTGAGCCTTAAGATTGTTAGTTACTTTAATAATTTTTTTCTTCAGCTTTGAATGACATTGTGAAATCAGAAGATACAACTTTAAGTCATGCAGCAAGAGGGGCATTATGGGAAATTGATGATTATGAACAAGAAAATGCTGCCAATGGTAAAGCATAAATTGTATTTTCATAAATAATCTGTACCACTTTTCAGATGCTGTGTCTGGCAAAGGTACAAAGTGATCGGCATCATGGACTCTCAGTATGTGATTTCAACACCCATTGAAAGGCTCCTTGTAGTCTCTTAACACAAAGAGGAATCCTAAAGCATCAAAGTTCTTTTTGTAGAATTCCACCCACTAAAAGAAGACCCCCCACTCCCTTTTGTAGTCTCCTAAAGTGAAGGTGATAGATGAACTGATGTATTCCATCATTGTGGAATCCACCTCCATTATATCAGCTAGTACAAAATCAGACAACTGTAGCCCATTCACTGTTGTTTCATGATGTTTTTCTTCAGAAAGTGAAAGTGGTCATGTGATGATTAGTTATCAATGGGATGCCCAGCCAGTCTTATTAAAGATTAAAGATAAACTGAAACAAGCAGGATATAAGGTCTGGATGGATGTGGAACATATGAGTAGGTTTATATTAACTATTTCTGTTTTCTTTATTTTTGTATTGTCATAAAAGATCACCGCATAAAGCAAATTGCTATTCAATGCAAATTAGGAATATATTGTTTGACTTATCTGGATTTATTCAGCTACTTTGTTTTGGTTTTTTAATTCATCTGTTCTCTTGAGGAGATATAACCATGTCAACCAATTTGCTATTTTGCTGCTTTTGCTTCTTTCTAATATCGATAATCATACACTTCATCATATGCTCTACCTATTCTCTTCACACCTTAAGGCAGTATGCATCTTATCTCTTCTAAGATTCTAATTTTTATGTAAATTGTTATTTGAAACTTGTGTTTTTTCTTTTTAAGTTGATATTCCATATTTCAGTTTATTTGCACCTTCAATATGTTAAAGCTTTTCACCATTTTTAATTTCAACTTCAAATGAGGTACTTTTTATTCAGTTAGATTTAGTCTTTACGTGTAAATTTGCAATCTTCTTTGCTCACCATTACAACAATTTACTGAGAGTGGTGGATACTTTAAGTTCAAGCATATTTCAAAATCATGTTACGGCTGATACAGTCTAATTAAAGTAAGACCAACATTTTTATTAGCCTTTATTTTATTTTTTTCAGTTAGAGTCTAACATCTGGCCTTTTTTTCAATTCGGCAAAATAACATTTGACCATATACTGCTTTGACCAATCAAATTTCTGCCTTTTGTGAGAGATTTGATTGGTTAAAGCAGATGTCTTAAGATTAGGTCAAAGGGTTATTTTGACGAATGTTCAAGAGGCTAATGTTTAGACCTTAACAGAAAATAAAAGCTAATAAAAAATGTTTGGTCTAATTTTAATTAGACTGATGCTGATGCAAATTGCGGAATCCTGTCCCACACCCTCCCCCATCCCTAGTCCCTTATCCATTTTCTATGCCACAAGTGGACATTATAGTGAAATCTTCTTATTTTGTTTTGTGTTTATTATAAATGTAAGTTGTCATAGTATAACATGGTCATTACAATTATTTTATTCTAATATGGCTGTATTTTTTTAATTAATGTAGAAATTTTTGGTTGATTTAATTTATGTAGGTGGCTCTACTCTAGAAGCTATGGCGCTGGCCGTGGAGAAATCTGCTGTTATATTAGTTGGTATATCAGAAAAATATAAATTATCACCAAGCTGTAGAACTGGTAATTCTTTTTTTTTTATTCTCCTTCACTCTCTTTCAGATATTAACAGTTTCTGGTCATATTTTTTTTGTGCTAATTTACCTTAATCAGAATATCATCAAAATTCCAGTGTTCACATATCATCACACCTTAACGAACAATTTAAAAATGTGCTTTGATAACAGCATTGTGTGCACTAAATATGTCTACCGAGATACATGTTTTCCTATGAAATACAGTTTAAGACTGTGAATATATGTCATTAAGCAATTGGGTAGACCCACAAACTTATTGGACTAGTGTCACACTATAAAATTAGGGATATACAGAGTATCTTCGTATCAATCCCATGTCTCTAATCAAGACTTCAATTTTGAAATTGTCCCTTACTTATCAGAAATTTATATTTAGGCTAGAGTTATAATTCAGAATTCAATTATAATCAATGCAGTTCTTATGTCTTTGACATATTAAATGAGTGTAGGCTACTTGTTGGTGGCAAAAGTTTGTTTCAACCCAATTCAGATGTCCCTCTTTTCAGCCAACCCTTATAAAAATTTATAATTTTTGGGATATTATTTTCTCCTTTAGAAGCAGAGTATATCTACAGACTACGTAAAGATATCATACCGATACAGGTGGAGAAGGGGTACCGTCCTGACGGATGGCTAGGTATGATGGTAGGAACCAAGTTATATTTTAATTTTACTGACGATGGTTTGGTGGAACATCAGATCCCTCGACTTTATAGAGAACTGGGTGATAGAGGCTTAATAACGTCTAAACTTAAACTCAATAGTAAGTGGTTATTTTTGCATGTAATCCAATTTTGAGTTTAACTTTTTGAATTGAAGATATTGTACATATTTTGCTAGTTTTTAGATACTTTGGCAACTTATTGCTTCAAGAAACGTAGAAAAGGTGAAAGTCAAGTTTGCAGTCAAACTATTTAGAGGATTGTCTCCATTTTCTATGCTTCAAACTATAGAAAATGTAAAAATTACTGTTACTGTCAAACTATTAGATAAGTTTTTATTTATTGTTACTTATTGGATTATTGCTCAGTGGCAGTACCATAGAAAATGAGGAGTTTCCGAAGTGTGTTATTGCTGGTTGAAAACTATACCCAATTATTTATTTTTAGGTGCTCAAACATTGTCTAGAGAAGATAGCATACAGACCAAAAGTCAATGTTGTAATTGGTCAAGCGATCAAGTTGCTGATTGGTTAGAATCAAATGGTGTGCCGCTTTATTCATCCAGGTAAAGTTATTTTGGTCAGTCATTGACATCCTGGAAATGATATTAAGAAATAAATTGATTGGTAACAAAACACGTCATTAGGAGGGGACTGTGAAAGAAACTGTCATAGTTAAATAATAAATATGGAGATGAAAAATATCAGAAAACAACACAAAACTAATGTAATATAACTTTTAATTGATTGAGCCATTTTATTTAATGTAACAAATTAACTGGACACAATTATATGGATAACAATTACTTTAATACTTTAATATTTAATAAATAACTTGCGACGTTTCCACGATGATGCTTTCGTCTTTTTCAAGCAATGATATAATTGCGTCCAGTTATTCATACCCCAGTTACTAACTGCCACTCAAGGAAATATAACAAATTGTATTCTAGTCCTCGTGCAACATTTAAACATTCTATTTTTGTTTTGAAAGGATTTTAAACAACCTTGCTGTACATTGATTTAGACTTGGTTGTTTTCTCAAAATTTTCATGTTTTTATCTTGTTATCTTATTTGAAATGTTCTCTTCTTTTCTTGTATTTAGCTTAAAAGAAATGGATGGTAACTTGTTATTGGAATTGAAAAATATCAAACACAGAGCACCAACATATTTCTATAACATTCTTCAACAAGAATTCGGCTTGGGAATATTAGATGTAATCAAATTTTCTAGAATTATTGAGTTACTTCCATAACGTCATGTTCCTTTAGTATGACATTTGTTAAGGCTCCAGAACTACGACAGAAAATTCGCTGAGAGTATGTTAAGGTCGTTGTAAGTGTGGTACGTTCGTGTAAGACACCCCAGACATCCTGCAATTGTTGCCACTATTGCCACTATTCGCTGAGCCATAGCGTTTATTCTGTACATGTTCAAAGCAAACGCCAAAGTTTGGTGATGTGATACACATGACAAAAACGCTGCAAAAATGTTAGAACACTATATAGTTGCACACCTCACGGTATGAAGTCGACTGTTTTTAGGTTTAAAATTTTTTTAGGGACCATGACCTAGTACATTTCCAGTCGCTCTAAGATCACAGATGGTCGCAGTCCGGTGTGAAGGGGCCAATAAACATCATACTCCATTGCTAAAGAAACATGACTAAATAATTGCTACACTGAAAATTTATTTTGTCTAGTTTGCTCAAGAATAGAATGCATTCCTATGTATATTTAGTATATTGTATAATTCAAGAATTGAACTATTTCAAGTAACTATGTTCGAGCAGGTGTTTTAGAACAGTGCTTCTCAACTTCAGTGAGATCATTCTTCCCTGGATGAGTTCTTCCATATCTATTCCTCCCCAATAAAACATATTTGTAGTCATGTAAATTGTAGTCAAGGAATCAATGAATTGATATAAAAATAATCCACATATTGAGATTGTGAGACTTGAACCCAATACTCATTCACGATATTCTGCCTGTCTGTGGTGAGTGATACCAATTTTAGTTGTAGATCACCTCGCACAACTATCGTCAACGAACCAATTATCTTTGTGAGTACATCATTAACCGAGCTGAACCTGCAATCCCACCAAATACTTGGTAATAAATGACAGCAGTACATATTAACCCTCCTGGCAATAATTCCTCCCCATGGTCCCCAATTCCTTCCCTGTTGAGAAGCTCTGTTTCAGGAGACTAAGCTTCATCCCATCTCAATTGCAAACCTATCGCAAATGATTTTAATTAAATTAAGTGTTTTGGTTGTTCTCAAAATGAATTGTAAATGAATTTTACTTTATATATGTCTGTTCTTGTCTGGACTAATGAAAATGGGCAACACTTTGCAGTGTGCAATGAGGGAATTTGTGTAAGGATGTCAGCATTTGCTCACAGCATGGACTTCAATACATTTTGAAAGATGGCTTCAGAGACAGTCAAGTCCGTCAAGAAAATCACTGACCTGTAAACACTGTAAGAACGATAATTTTTATTTTACAAAATCAACAATAAACAACAAAATACAGTATTTTGATATTTCAAAAATAGGATAAAAATATACAATTTATTCACTCACTAATAAAAACATAAAAATCTATAAAGAAAATCTCATTATTTTTAGCACTTATAAAATGTCCCATGTATTGAAAATTTAGTAATAAAAAAAGATGCTCAAAGATCCGAAAAAAATATTAGGCTTAATGCCAATATCACATTGACCTTATCAATTATAGTGATACTAAAATTAACATAAAATAAACATAGAATTTTAAACTTGGCCAATAAGACTCAGTAGATATACCTAGTGTCATAAATAACATAACAGGATCCTTACATAATCCAATAAATCCAAAAAACTTAGTAATTATAGTAATTATCCATAAATATGCAATTAAATATTGAAAAACGCTTCATATCAAGATTAAGCGTTTTTCAATAATTACTAAGTTTTATGAATTTTCCAATTTTCCAGATTTTACAGGGATTCTGTTGTAACTTTATGACCTAAACCTAAACATCTGTCCCACAGTGCTTCAGTTTTCTATCGAACTTGCTAAACCTGTTTTACAAGTAACTCTCAATGAAAACAACGCAACATTACACATAGTAATCCATAATCCATACCAACGGATCTTCAGCTTCTATGGTAACGTGGGTGGCAATACTAACGTAAGAATTTGATATACTAAATAATGAACCAATCAGATGAGTGTTCTGAAATATAACAGTTGCTATGGTAACTATTTGTTCAAAATTTATCCAAAAATTACTTCTTTCGTTAGGCATCAAATATTTCCTGTTGTCCATATGTCCTTAAAAGATTGTGGGAGATTCATTTACATTTTTTGTCATGCTCTCAAATTTCATCTAAGCTCACCGAACAGGTCACAAAAGAGCAGATTGTCAATAAGGCATTTGAGCGCAATTCATTACTTGTTGTGCTCAAGTTTTATGGTAGATATTAGCACTATTGCAATATTTTGCTAGAGTATTATCATTATTATTAATATTGGTATCTGTATCATGTGATGCACAAACTCTCAACTACACCACAGCATTTTTTGTCCTGCCATTAGATTGCATCATAATTTTAGCATATTTTCACTAAGGGGATCCCCCCTATTAATCTCTGAGTATATGTTCCCTGTATGCTTCAGACTTGTAAAAAGTTATTTATAGAATTATCAGGAATGATAATCCATAGTCCATATTAAGGAATCTTCGGTTTCTATGGTAACATGGCTGGCAAGATTAGCGTAAGAATTAGACGTACTCACTAACGAACCGAATTCTAACGTCTGGTGATCTGAAAAATAACGATCCCAAGTTTTGGAAAATTGACATTAAACAGAAGCAGGTAGTTGGCTTCTAAATCATTCAGTAATAGAGTTTGACATCTTGTCTGCACCTTTTTTGCATCCGACTAATGAAGACACCATGCAATGTGCAAGGAGGTAAAAATTTTGTCAAGACTTGAGTATAAGCTTCTCTTCTCAATTATCAACTGTCCGGAGATCTTTAACATGCACATAAAACCTTGGTTTCTTGTCCCATTCAACTACAATGTCAGCCCCTCCGACCTGCATCACTGACAGGGGAAAACCTGGTTGAAAAATCCCACCCCACGTCTGGATTGAACCCTGGACCCTCCGGTGAGGAAACAAGCATGTAACAGTTAAACAATAACATACCTAAATTCCATTTCAAGCCTGTAGTAGTGACATTATGACATGGTCTACCAATAGGAATTAAAGAACAATATTTTCCTCTCTGTTCACTTGTTATATCTATTACAGTTTTACCCTGAAAACACATAATAGGATTTTAAATTGGTTTTTATAAGTATTGGTGATCAATTTGCATCATTTAAATTTAGTTTTGATGTTTAATGAATAGCTATTGCAATGGCCCTAAGATATCATTTACAGCTTTTGTGAAAATTCATTCATTTCGAGTCTTAGAAGAAACTTAGAGACGTAACGATTTGAAGTGATTGTAAAATAGTTTTTCAAATTTTTAATGTGTATCATCAATTTTCACCATTTTAATTTCAATCAGACATCTGTGGTACCTGCAATTCCAATATAATTGTTTTATGTGACAATGCATATTTTGCAGGCGTCTGATTTTAATGGTGCAAATTGATGCTATCAGTGTTCCTGATACACATAAAAAAATAATATAAGGATTTAATATATACCTTGTGGATCAGACAGCATAAAGAGTTGTCTGTTACACAATAAATAGGTTTATCTGTTAGATGCTGGACTTCATAGAGTGTATTAATATTACCAAACATATGATCTAGTCTACCACCAAATACACCAAACGCTACATATTCATCGATCTGAAAACCAAACAGTTCTGCCAATTATAACACGCTGGAGCTAGCATTGTCACAGTTTTGTAAAGAGGGCTCACAATCTCTGAATTAAGTTTTTCCCACCATAACACTTTTACATTTACTCTTGAGGGGAGTTTGGGTCACTTCAGTGGCGTTATATGAATTATTAGGTGAAAGGGCCGAGTAGGGACCACACAATTGTCAAGGGAGTTAACATCACCGCACATTTTGGACCTTGATTATAAGAAAGTTGAGATGTTAGTGGCAGTTGTGCTTTGTGCTGATGTGACATACATATGTTGATAGTCATTATCACCCAGTCCTGAATAAATACTTAATAAATAGGGCCTACTGACCACTACATTACCTTTTTATCTCTGTATTTTTCATGGATAACTTTAAAACCCTTTGTAAAATCAGTAAAATTTTGATCTGGTGTACACTCAACTTCACATCCCTAAAAACAATCAAGTAATGAAATATCTTGAAGTATAAGAAAATCAACAGTCTTGTGTCAGTTAGCTTGTGAAAAAAGACATCTTCAAGCATGATTTCAGTCCAGTACAGATCATCTTGGGTGGATAAATACCAAGACGTTTGTCCACAGGTCAACTGCTAGAAAAGTTCCTCGAGGACAGGACCTAAGCATCTTCACAATATCAAGCTATTACGAACTTTATACCTATACCTTGACTGCTATAGTCAAATTTCTTGTATCATGAAAGTTTGTAAATGAAGCGATTTGATTGGATTGTACGCTAGCACATACAGCCAATAAGAGGACTTGACAGAAAGTCTGTAAACACAAGACCATATGCCGAGGTCTCTGATTGGCTTTATTTTAATCAAATTAAATTGCTGCATTCTGTGACACAAGAACAATGGCGATTGTAGTCAAGGTATAAGATAAAGTTCGTAATATCTTGACATTGTGAAGATGTTATACTTATAAAATTTAGTTGTTTCTGTCTTACCTGATCTCTGTAATATTGTAATACTTCTGGTCTGGCTGAATCAAAATCACCTGTTATAATATCTGGTAAATACTGACATCTTAAACTATCAGAATCAAAATAATCATAGAGTATATTACTAGCACCATCAATACAAAGTTTAATATTGGCTGAAAATATATACCGATAAATACAAAGTTTAATATTACTTGAACATTTATGATTGGTTAAAACTATAAGAGTAATAAGAACATAATGATATGATTAAGAATACATGATAATTCATTAGAAACATCAATTAATCAAATAGTTTGCTTAATTTGACACTAAAAAACAAGGAAACCCATCTTTAAGTAATAATTAATTATATATATTAGAAATAATTATTATTTGAAACTTAATATTAATTAGATCAGACTCTCTGGTTTGAAAACAAACTTCTTACTTACCATACTTCCATACTTGTTTTATCAGATGAAAATCTTCCTCTAGATGATTATTTAACAATAACAAACCAATACTATAATCTAGAAAAACAATATGTCATATTTCCATCAAATTGTTCCCTGGGTACATGCCACCATATGCTTTCAACAACAGCTGTGGTTTACTTAGAATTATGTTGAATTCTATACAGTCAGTTTCTGAATATTAATATGCTTTATCACATAAAGCCCTTTGCGATAAGTGACATCATCAAAAACTTATTTTAAGTGGAATTGCAGGAACCACAGATGTCTGAATGAAAATTGAAATGGTGCAACTTGATGCTATCAATTTGATGCACATACAAAATTTTAAAAACCTTTTTATGATCCCTTTAAAGAAGCAATCTTTTTTTTTTTTGTGGAAATGACATGTGCTTCAATAATAACTTTTTCAAACTTTTGAATACTCACTTTCATTCTGACTGTTTAAAAACTTCAGTGGATTTAAATATCTGGACATCATATCATCTTACTGAAATATATCACAATAATTATTTACACATTCTAATAAAATTTTTATTGAATACATTTTATCGTAACATCAGCTGTAAGCTATGTTTAAAGGAAAAATTTGGGAGTTGATTTGAATCTTGAATATATGTAAATAGTCTTCAGAAGTACTAGAAATATACGAAATTCACATCATTCCTTCAGAATAATCTCAAACTAGGAATTTCTTTTCCTATCTCTACAGATGTATTTTCTATATGTGGCAGTGTCTAAAGAAAAGACAACTCATCTTTTAAACTTTCAAATTGGCCCAGCTGTCCCTTTAACTGTGATATATGCATATATATTTAAAAGGTTGTACTATATTGTTAATTGTGTAACTGGATTGTGTTTTCTTACCGATATATCTCAGATATTACAACAGTACATGTCAATAGAAGATTACTACTTTTAACAAAAAAAAAGAGAAAAAGTGAACATCATTAATTAAAGGGACAGATGCACCATTCTTTTTTGACCGATCACTAATAGTGTTCACAGCTTAACGTCAAAATTTGAGTCTTTAAATCCATGTATGTCTAGAATTATCCTCGTTTGAATGTTTCAATGACGACTCGTGAATATAAGATTCTGTGTGAAATATAGAAAAGACATATCAAGAAATAGTGAGTAAAATTCCTACTTGAAGTATTTTTAAAGGAATGATGTGATTATCGTACATTTCTAGTACTTCTGAAGACTATTAAGGCCCACATATATTCAAGAATCAAATCAATCCCCCAAATGGAGTAACCTGTTCCTTTAAACATCAAGTTGAACATTTAAAATTAAAAAAAATAAGTCCACAAACCAATGGGTGCCAGTTAGAAAATTAATTTCAAATCCAATACATTAAACCCGAGTATAAGAATATTTGATAAAACAAAAATATTTATCATAAATATACACTTATTCAAAAAGATAATGGATTCATGTTTATCAGTTGATTTTAACCTCCCTTAAATTAAAGTCCACATTCTGCCTATTTAGTACAACATATTATATCTACTCAAAAAAAAATTTAGAAAAACTATGAACACAGTAGGCCTATCTGAGAAATCGTAACCTAATCTAAATATTTCAACTGTTATCTTGCTGTTAATTTTCATAAAAGAAATTGACTATCTTTTTAACTGTAATTCGCTGATGAAAACTAATGAATAAATAAACCAAGTACTAAAGTTTCGAACAGAAAAACGAAAAACCTGAAATCCAAACAACATACTGGCAAAACATTAGTACCGGTAGCAGCAAATAAACTTTTCACAGGAGATAATTAAGTACATTAGTTACATTGACCCTTAAAAAGTTTGAAACCCCAGTTGTAGAGTGACATCTGGCCCTGTATTCCTGAAACAATCTTAGCTCTAGGATATCCTAGAAACAGTGTTAGAAGTTAAGAACCTAGGAATTCCTAGTGCTAAGTTAATTTCAAGAAAACGCTGCGTGGAGTTCCACAAGAGTAAGCATGCCCTACCTTGCTTGCAGTATTAGTCACAGAATTCATCATAATGGAGCTCAAATACTGCAAAGTCTAGAGAGAAGTACAGGTAGGCCTAGTCCTATTGGTTGCTATTCAGGCTGTGTATTCTCAAAACAATCTTACCGCTAGGCCCCTAATTTCTAACACGTGGCCAGAACTTTTCAAAAACACATGTTACCAAAATAATTTCCCGGTTTATTGTCATTCTAAACATAAAATGGAGTCAAGCTGATATATTTGATAATAAATATACCAGTATTTTCAAAGTAACAATGTAAATTACAGGGAAATTTAAATGTGGTCTGATCATCTAGATTCATTCAAAACGAAACGCTTTTTAACATTAATCCATATGATTTAATCTAGTTCGTTTAAACCAATACTTACACACAGCGTATTCTGATATTAAATAACAGACATAGCCATTGACTTGGGCTAAATTTTTCACTGAATTAAATTCATTATTTATATCTCTGTATTTGTGGATTTTCGCATGGAGGCATGGGTCGATTGTCTTTCTTGATTACATCTCTCTAAAAAAAAAAGTCCAGAAGTTACTCAATGTAGTCTTGATCTCAAAGTCTTGCATTGAAGATTGTTCTTAAAATTAGGTCTGGATATTAAAACGACAACCATTTCCCGCGACCTATAAAATATAAACAACCAAATGAAAGCATGAAATAAGTTTTGATTATCAGATCTAGCCCTAGTCGTAAATTCTTTCGAGAATGAAAACATCAAAAACTAAAAAGGTTTCTGTAACGTTTGCTGGTGATGATAATGTGGTTCAACATATTGTACCGCTTGAGGAAAAGAGATCAGGTGAGACATCTTCTTGATGAGTTTGGCAATGGGCCGTGGATTCTTATTATTACTTTTACCTGATATAGATTTTAAAACATTAATGAAGAAAGCTTTTTTCCCCAATTTATCAATTTATCAGATGATACTGGTTTATTATGCGTACTTACTAAAACATGAATCGACAGGAAACAATCAGAAATTTATTTCTTAAATTGAAGTACATGTTCGGTCTGATTAGCATGCGTAGAATTCATTGCAAAATAGTTTGAGGGTGTTTTCCTGCTCGATTTCTTCTATGGTCGTTGGCCGTTTCTGGTTGGTTCATCTCTTTGATTAGTAAGGATATTATGCTTGTGTAGTCTACCTATCAAAATGTACCCTGATGTACACCTACAAGGAAGAAAATTGAGAGTGGGGACCTCAATTATGGGCTCCCAGTTTTGATCTTGTTATATCACAATGAGTATACTTATCACATTTCTTGCAGTAAGAAAATCTCAGCGAAGTCAGTCGTTCAGTTCTGGTTTAGACAATAAAAAGAAAAAGAAGAAGATTAAGGGAGATATCAGTGAAGAAAGTGAAGGGGATGATGATGTCTTGGTCACACCTTGTAGTAAGTTTTAGTTCTTATGTGAAAGGGCTGAGAGCACACATTGAAATAGACGATGAGTCAACCCTTAAAAGAATTAGTTTGTTTCTGGCAATTTAAGGAAATGTCTGATCTACTGCTTTTCAATTGCTTAGCAGACAACTTTTCAAATCATTGCCTGCAAGACTCTATTTTTAACTAGGAATTTTAATAGAATTTTTTTTATTTTCAGCTCTGGAAGCAGAGGAGGGGTTAATGGTGGGTTCTGATGTTTTTAGTTTTAGAACGCCCAAAAAATCTGGTCAGATGGCTCAAAAAGGTAGGTAACATGTTTAATTGTTTTTGATTCTCGAGGATCATAAGAATAGAATCCCCATGCAAAGATGATCTTAGCCTTGGATACACAACAGGGCAAAGTCTCAGTGGTGGAGCTTAAGGGGAGACAGAGGGGCCACCCCCCCTCGCAACCTCAAATAATTTGCCCTCCCTCCCTTTGTCGGACTGCAAAGTTTCATATGATTCAGTTGCTTGTTTTTTTAAGCTAATTGATTGATTTAATTCTTTTTGGATTTTATTTATAATATTCATTTGAGAGATTTTTAAGCTTTTCTTGTCTCACTTTCTCATTTGTTTGAACGAGTGACAGTATGCTTTGTTTTACAGAATTTAAAAAAATCTTACTTAAGACTTCTTGTCGTTTTCAGCTTCTGAAGCCAAAACACCAAAAAGTGCAGCTAAAGAAAAGGAACCCAAAACTCCTAAAAGTGCTTTAAAGACACCAAAATCTAAGAGTACCACTCCTGGAAAGAATGCAAGGATTCTCGAAGATGGTAAATTAAACTCTTTGTTTGTTTCATTTAATGGTCAAAGGAATAATACTAGTAAATGCATTTAATAAAAGTAGTTTGATAATATTTTTGAGAGTTATTTGGTGGCAATTATTTGAATTCTTGAATGTTGGAACACTATCGTAGAAATGTTGATATCTCTGCTCAACTTACCTATGTGGACTCTTGGAAAAGACACTGACTTGACAAGCCTAGTTGAAGAGTGGCATTGAGATTGAAATGGAAAGAAATATCAAGATTTTGAATTTGCATTCAGTCACTATTAATTTTATTTCTTTCTGTACCTCATGGATGTTTTTTTCTATCCTCTTGTTTTTTAGTTGAAACACCAAATAAACCTGGTAAATCAGGGGAAGATAATCAAACCAGAAAACCCGAATCTATGACACCATACAGACTTCGTAAACGTAATGCAGAAGGTAAGATAAACCTTATGTATCCTGGCTCAGGGGATAAATTTTCTTATTGGTCACAAAATCTACTAGACTATTATAAGTTAAGGTAAAGGTCACAAAATAGATAGAATCTTCAGGACTTAGGGACGCACCATCATGCAAGGCTCTTCTTGTTACTAGACAATTTTTTGCTTTGACTTAAGTTGAATATGCAGATACTCTGAGCCAAATATTCATATATTTAGATTTTCACTTAAGTGAATGGTATTTGATAGAATGGTATTCGATAGTAGAAGTTTCATTTCGTGATTTTGCAGGAGATTCTTCGTCAGATAACAGTATATCTAGTGAAAGTGATTCAGATAGCGAAACAGAAGATAAATCAACCAATCAGAAACCAGCTTCAGGTCGTAGCAGACAAATTGTTCATGGTGAAGATATGGTAAGATATTTTCACGATTCTGGCAATATCAGTGCAAATTTTTGCTTTCAGCGTCTCAGATACACATAAAGAGTTTAAACAACCTCTTTACAATCCAAGGCCAGCTACATAATTACGCAATATATGCCAGAGCAGTACGTAAACCAGTCGAAACCAAGTGACGCCACACAACATTAACGTCTTACAATCTTAGATAAAATTACTTGGAGTTCGGGGTTTATTTCATTTACACTCAGGGTTCAAAGGGTTAATAGAATATTAATTGTATTTTCAGACAACTAATGCAGAAGATTATTTCGACCTCCATTCAGAAGGGGCTGTAACATCAGATAGGACTTTATCAAAACTAGAAACACCAAGATTAGATCATGAAGCGTTGAGTAAATTATTAAAAAACGTGACTACAAGTCATCCCAAACATACCAAGGAAATGTTAGAAGATCATTCTTCACAGTTCTCTAGGTGGATGTTCAATATGTGGTAAGTTCTTTGGAATCAACTGTATAATTGATGCTGCATGAAATCAGGAGATCAAAGGAAAATTGGACACCATTGGGTGGGTAATAAATATACTGCAGCCTGAAAGTTGGAATATATTGAGTTGAAGTAAAGTGAATAGTTGAAAGAAAAGGGTGCTGCAGCTTTTCACAAATATCAACTGAAGATGGCCCAACAAATATGACATTTCAATGCGGTTCTCACTCCGTCATCAGGAATATAATGAGAGAAATACATTGAAAGGTATAAAGCAATAAATATTCTAGAAGTATCCATCCATAATAATTGTCTTATTTATGTATAAAATTATGTTTTAAAAACAGATACAAATTTGTTAACGTGTATAGAAACAAAAATAGTAAGTAATAAAAAGCAAAGAGTAAATTCTCAACAAATTATTTTGAGTATGATCCTTACATATAATATATTTATTATTTCAGCAATGGTTTTAATATATTGTTATATGGTTTGGGCTCTAAAAGGGCTTTATTAGAAGAATTTCGTAAATCCCATTTGGTAGAGTTTAATCATATAGTGGTCAATGGTTACTTTCCTAGTCTTACCATTAAACACGTAAGTATTATATTACAGTCTTAAAGGCATTTTAAAGAGGTTTTCTAAAACATTGATTTTTTAATGGGGACTCTGATGGCATTGTTTTGCACCATTTTAATTTTAAGTTAGATGTATATGTATATGGTTTTTCCAAATCGTGCGTTTAAGATGTCACTATTGCACTGGTCCGTATACTTATACATACATATGTTAAACTGCACGATTTTATCGGGAACAGAAATGTTCGGATAAACAAGGCTCCACCGTATATCAGTAGCAGCTTTTACGATAGAGTGAAGGGTTAACGATATTGTTGTTATTATGGTTTTTGTAGATATTAAATATAATAAAAGAAGATATAATAGATGTACAGGACACTTTTAAATCACCATTAGATCAGTATGAATATATCAGAAAATATTACGAGGAATCCGGTGAGTAATCAATATAATAAGAATTCCGTAACAACCCTTTTTTCTTTCTTTTAGGTTTCATTACCAGTGTAATCTTACAAATTTTCTTACATAGTCTTGTTCTAATGATGCTATTTTTAGCCAATTGAGTGTGTAATATGTTTCTACATTTAAATCAAGTTATTTTAATTACTGTGGAAAGTAGTATAGATTGATATAGAAAATGCTTTAAGCTGATCGTAGAAATTACCCAAAAAATTCCCTGTGTTCTTATAAGCTGCTTTCTATAGAATAGACATTGTATTTTGTGAAAAGGTGTAATTGATTTCTGTTATTTGAATAATATTTCATATATTTTGTTTTCAGAATATGAAGATTTTTATATGATAATACACAATATAGACGGAGCAATGTTAAGAGCAGAAAAAGTCCAGAATATTTTAAGTTTATTAGCTCAGATACGAGGTTTCCACATTATAGCCTCCATTGACCATATTAATGCTCCTTTAAGTAAGTTTTAGCAGAATCGATGAGCGATACTTATTGACCTTTTTAACTAAATGTTTCAGAAATCCTTTAAGTAAAAGTTTGTTAGAAAACTTAATGACAAGATTTTTTAAGAGTGCTTACACCTACCATTTGATAAGATTGCAAAAATGGTAGTCATGAAGATCTTATTATGTTCAATATTCAAAACCAGCTGTAAATAGTCTTGGATAAAGTCTTTAAATGGCATTTAGTAATTGTAAGTACGATGTATAGACACAGCTTTATGGAACAACAATCACTGGTTAAAGTTTAACGTTGCATAAAACTTTGACCAGTGATTGTTGTTCCATAAAGCTGTGTCTATATAAGGTATGGATAATATGCAAAAGATAACTGCCAACAGATGTGGGTATGTACCAGAGACAAAGATTATTCCAATGACCATTATATTTTAACTTTGTAAAATATGAATATTTTCATCTTTTGATCCTGTCTTTATTAGCTCTATCAGGTGAAGAAGAGTAGGATGTAAAACTCCATTCATTTCATTTGATGTTTCTCTATTTTAGTTTGGGATCATACAAAATGCAGTCGTTATAATTGGATATGGTATGACTGTACGACCTATATCTCCTATTCCTCGGAAACATCCTATGAGAACTCTTTATTAGTACAACAATCTGGAGCTCTAGCCTTAAGTTCTCTCACTCACGTTATGAAGAGTTTAACACCTAATGCTAAGGGAATATTTTTATTATTAGCTAAACATCAGTTAGAAAATAAAGACAACAGTACTTATATAGGTAGGTCTTCTGGACATTTCAGGGAGTTGCTGTGGCTCAGTCTATTTTAACATGGTTTCCCCTTGTCAGTGATGCAGGTTGGTGGGGCTTACATGGACAAATTTTTTAGCTATTAAGATGGGACAATAACCAAGGTCCTGTGTGCTACAGGACGTTAAAGATCAATCTACAATTAAAAACCAAAAAAAGAAAAGGCTGCTCTGGAAAAATTTCGATCGGCAAAATCAGGTGTAGAAAAGTGAAACATCATTTCATTTTAACTTTTGATCATTTCAAATTTCCATTCATTCTGCCACTCATTGTCAGTAATTTATGTCAGTCAGTATTGTACCATTAATCATTTTGCTATAACTGTTTCAGGGATGTCATTCCATGATTTATACCAGCGATGTCGAGAATCGTTTCTAGTTAACAGTGATCTAACACTAAACGCTCAGTTAATAGAATTCCGTGATCATAAACTCATCAGATCAAAAAAGGTAAAAGTTATTAAAATCTGGGGATATTTGGGTTCCCTCAGAGACCCTTGTTGCTTAAACACTGATTTGAAAATCTACAATTCTTTTGCGTCTTAGAAGTATATTCTTACTTTGATTGGTTGTTATAGCTTTTTGTGTACTGAATTGTTAGTGGAGTGCAGTGGAGAAAATGTAAATTATGCAGCTTATAATTGATTATGAAATTTGATAATCAATAATCGAAATTATACATTTGTAGAGATGATAATCGATTATTTCGATCATTTTATCCAGCCCTACCGACACTCTTAGTAATACTCTTAGTAATATGACGTACGTATATGGTCCTAGAGCATGTCGGAATACACACTGTGTACTGTATGGTTGTTTTGCTATTTTTATTGCCAGAGTATACAACTAAAAATGGCAAGTACAAAAAAGAACAATTTTAAGGTTATTTCTTTTATTGTTATTATACTTGTAGAGTTATGATGGTGCTGAACATTTGTTGATACCAATTGACCCTGCTACGTTGGCTGAATTCTTAGACCAACAAGCAGATAGCTGATGATAGCGTACAAACATTGGAGTAAGATTCTATGGTTTATAGAACCAGAAACACATCTGAGTGAATCACATCTGAGTACAAACGTTTTCAATTGAATTGCCAGGGACTGTTATTAGGGTGAATAAACATCGTTGGAAATGAAATTTTTGTACCTTTTCTAATAAATTATCATTTCCATGGTGGAATAAATTTTTGATTCCTTGACCCTTGGATTAACTTATATATTTTTACATTTAATTGACAGTTGTCAGCTGACTCATCTGTATTGCAGCTTGAATTTTTTTCATGAAGATTTTGTTTGCTGCAAGATATATTATTATAAACAGAATTATTATCAATTTATATCAAGAACTAAATGATTTACTACAAACATGACGGTAATGATACCTCTCGATATGGAAAGTTCAATCAGTAGGCTAGAAGAGCAATAATGAATAAATGCTGTTTTCTTTCGTAAGACTGCAGAATATGGCAGTATAGGAAAATGGCTTATAATAAAATACTAGTAATCAAAATTAAATTATTTATTACAAACATCAAACATTAATGGTTTGTATTCAAATGTCAAAGGCACATATGGTCCAATAGATCATCTAAACTATTAACAAGAAAGGATTATGAATGGAGGATCGCAATAAGGTAGTCTTGTATTAGCCTATAGGCCTACTTATTTTACATACCTCACTTACAGAGTAAGTAACGGTGCCAGTCTCCCGAGACTGGTGGTTCAAATAGGGGGTAATGTTTCATTGGCAGCGCCAGTGGGGGTACATTTGCACCCTTAGTAAGTTTATACTCACCCCGTTGAGTCTGTCGCCTATTTGAACCTTCATCTCCAGAGGCTGGACAATGTGCAGTGTAGGGACTACGTGTAGAAAAACTTTTCAAGTGCTAATGTCGTGCTCCAGTACATCTTTACAGTATCAAGTTATAAGCGAAGTTCGTTGTAACTTGACAATGTGAAGATGGCTTAATAAAATATCACTGATTTGGACACACTTGAGCTATAATCCAACCTTGGTAAGCAGAAACACGTGATATGGTAGAGGTGACCTTTAAACACATTTCCCGCCAATTGAAATGCTGACGTAATGTTTTCCAAAAGCTTCGCACATCTGCTCTCCCATTTCCCGACTGAATTCGCGATTTTGCTGATTATTTCGACTGTGTAAAATGTCGCCGTGTGCTCTACGAGTCAAATAATCCATGGCAGACATTCTGTTTAAGAATGGATCTTGATTTCCTACTTGACCTTGACCTTCTGGTCGTTGAGTTGGTTGAGAATCCTGGCTGTTTTGTTGATGATCCGGCCTGGAGTCTTGATCAGGATCGGTATCGAAGCTGCCGCCTGGTGGAGGATTCCCTATTCTTTGTTGAATCAGATCCCACTCCCCTTCAGTGTATGAGTCAGGAGGTTGAGAGCCACGCCTTCTGCTCGACGGGTCATTTTCATCAGACGGAGGACGTGTGGTTGACGATGGTGGTTCTTGTGTGGTTTCTATTGTTGTTGGACTTCTGGTGGTTGTTGTTGCGCTGCTCTCAAGATTTTGAATCAAAATATGGCGAGCCCTAGATCGATAATGATGGCGCTCTGCTTCTCCCTCTGAAAATAAATATATTTTTATTTCTGTGAATATTCTTTATAGTCGTATTTACTCGCCTTAAAATGGCGACATGTATATAGTTTCTAGTTAAAACGCAACAAGTCACTTCAAAAGCATAGGCGAATTGGCCGAAGGCCTGTTGGTGGAGTATTTTTCCCGAATTTAACCTGTATTTTTCTTTGTTTTCGGGTTGTCGTCCGATATGTTTCGGCGGATTTTCTTTCAGAACTAAATTATTTTTACACCATCAAAGTGTACTCTAAATGTTGTAGAGCGCATCTGGAATCTCGGCCGTTCATGCATTCCTTACTCGACGGACGGGTAAACATACATAATATAACATACATAAAGCAAGGGCATTGTACAACCAGTTATGTGTAACTGTAATGCCTTACCGTTTCGTGTCATTTCATCTCGTATTTTTATAGCTTGCATTGAGCAGCTGTGCTTCCGAAAAAAAAAAAGCGAAAAGATGTCTTCTTACCCGATATAAAAGCTGAAATCAAAATAAAAGCAGTTATCCAACACAAATGATCCATATTTCTTGATATCGTCTTGTTATATTATGTGGTATAATATGTTATTCAACTTGTTATGAGAAAACTGTGTTATTATGTGACGTTTCGAGGTCGTTATTGCCATAAATATTATTCCTGCTTATCGCTTCATCTTATTTACAAAACAAGTCTGTGTAGAAAGATTCAGGAGGTAGACTATAAAATATTTATGTGATATAATAAACACGACTTCTTTATATGTTGCCAGTACTGGTGAACTGATCAGTTTTCACAGAATTAGATAAAGGATTCTCATAAAATGTCAAACACGATCTGCGTAGTTTATATACAAAAATCACAAAATAAAGGCAGTCATAAAAGGTGCCTGACCGCTTTAATATCACTATCTGCTTGCTTGTTATAAACCATATTTTGGATGAATTCGTATGAACTAGTCCTTTGGCACAATTTCGGCATCATTGAGTCATTGGCTTGGAAAACTATTTTTTTTACGGTAGGCATATATAGTCGCCTCAATATAATATAACCATCTGGCAGAGCTCATTTTCAACTATCCTTATTACCTTTCGGAATGAAAGGTCTGCGTCTAGTTCTCCTGCAATTCACCAAATAGGCCCTATGCAGATATTTTGACACGATGTTAATGCTGAATTAAAGAACCTGGGGTCGGAATCCAATTCTGAAAAGTGACACGATTAGCTTAAAAAGTTTTAATTAATATTCCCTAATTGGTCCATAAGAACTTGAATATTGTTCTCTTTCCCAATTTTTCTAAAAATGTCGGCTACTGTGAACCAAGAAAGGGACTGGAATATTATCTCAGCGATAACTACACAGTCTTAATTTTGTAGATCGTTTAAACAATCTGGCAACACCGCTTTTAAATACATAATCTGGCGGTTCGACTTTTATCAAAGGGGGAATACTCTTGTGATTTTGTTTACTTAGGACTCTAAAGAAAAATTAAGAAAACACAGGATTTTCTTTATCTTATCGTAAGTATATCTGAAATTTCTGGGTAAACTGCAATGTGACTTATTCTTTTGCACCAGATGCGATCCATAACATGTGCTCTGAGGCAACTTTGGCCGTTAAACTGTTAAATTTCTATTTTATCGATGTCTTAATCAATTTTATCATTTATTATGGAGGCCAGAGGAGGGTCACTCAATGAACTTCGTACAAATGTTATCAATAAAGTTATAAATGGTAACTCTGCTATAACTGTAGGCCACAAATTGGAACAGATTGCTTACTATGCCTTGCACTGAAGAGTTACTGGTGCTTAGTTTATTCTGAAAACTTTTTTATATTTGTGTAAAGTTAAAGAAGACCGATTAACTGGTTTAATAAACACATAAATTAAAAACATAATAAGACTGAAAACCAACACCCTAAGAGTTGATAATAATAAATTGACTACATTCCATTATTTTTTTGGTATAAACAATAAGGTATAGAATTTAGTCCACTTTTTAATTTTTAAAGAGAGTGACAATACCAGTGTCATTGAAGAAGTATTAGGCAACTTCCTCATTTCAATTAAAAACATAATAGATGCAATATCCTAGACGAATCGAAGTTAAGGTTTCAATCAACATATATCCATCAGTTGAAATCAATATTTAAACTCCACTCCAGCATCCCAAAACTACACATGTCAAGAAGTTGCTGCATTTGAAATTGTGTTTGTGGGCTAAGGTGTAGATAAGCTTATATTGTGATTTGTTTAAAGAATAAGCTTACAATGAAAAAATACTTTCACTGTTAAAATAGTGCTCAATACATCAATTGCAGAACGATATAGAAATACCGCTGTTAAAATAGTACTCAATACACCAATTGTGGAGTGATATAGAAATACCACTGTTAGAATAGTGCTCAATACATCAATTGTAGAGTGATATAGAAATACCACTGTTAGAATAGTGCTCGATACATCAATTGTGGAGTGATATAGAAATACCACTGTTAAAATAGTGCTCAATACATCAATTATAGAGTGATATAGAAATACCACTGTTAGAATAGTGCTCAATACATCAATTGTGGAGTGATATAGAAATACCACTGTTAGAATAGTGCTCAATACATCAATTGCAGAACGATATAGAAATACTAAAACAGAACCTAAAAAACAACATGTTTTCTGTTTTAATATTTCTAATGAAAAGCCTATATAAAGGAGTTGCTGCTTTGAAAATTTAATTTGTCAAAAAGATCTGGAATTAGAGTACAGGTATATATATTGTCATTTGATGAATAAATGATTCAGCTTAGAGTAGAGTAATAGAGTAACTGAGAATTGTCTCTTATAATAGCTTTTTCGCTTTATCTTTATTTTACACAATACAGGTAGACTATAAACTATTAAACATGTACCTGGATGGATATAGAATTATTATGTCATTAGTGATAAATGATTTTTTTGATACAGTAATTAAATGTGAAATAATTATAAAATGCTGCAGGTGAAGCAACATGTGTAAACTTTTATTGTTTCGTTTACAGATTTTTTCTTTCCCATTTTATTACACTTATATATTACAAATTTGGGCCCATCAGCTTATTTTTTTAAAAATATTATTTTCATCTTTTATATCAAATAGAGATTTATTAATTTATCAACAATGAATACATTTTGACACAAATCTTGATAGTGTAAAAGGGAGCAATGGTAGCTCAGTCAATAGTACTGCTTTTGTACCTGAACGTATAGAATTCAATCCCTGCGTTGTTTCAGACATAACTTTTGGAATTTTTCAACCTGGTCTGCAGATCAGACAGAATGGCATTGAAAAATATCCAGTTGTTTGTATTAGAGGGTGAAAGCCAACACCGATCTGTCTCTCGGAAGCACTGGCACTGGCATTAGAATTTGTCTTACCTTTAGGAGGATTCAAACCCACAGCACCATATCCCATAGCAAAAGACAATCCGACTCACTACTGACTGAGTTGTTCCACTGTTGGATGAGACAATAAACCAGGCTCTGTGAGCTACACGCTGAATATTAATATTGATGTAGTTTGATGCCACCGTCCTTGTGAATTGTCCTCATTATACACTGCATGACATTGCCCCTCCCACATCATCAGCCCATTGGGGTCCATAATATACAGAAGTAAACATGTATGGAAAAAAGGGCACATTTTCTTTTGAGTTGTTACTGCTTAGTTAGATTTTGATATGACTCTTTTATTTAAGATGACTCTTTTATTTCAGATGACATCTGCTTTAACCAGTTCCTTCACTCTCTCACAAAATGCCAGCACTGGAGAGGACAGAAAATTGATTGGTTAAAGCAGAGTTAGGTCAATAGGTTATTTTGACGAATGTATAAGAGGCCAGTCTTTAGACCCTAACTGAAGTGGCTATATTGAAAATGAATGAAAGTTTGGTCTAATCTTAATTAAACTGGCATTAATATTCTCTCTATTCAGTAAACCCTCCAGTATATTCTCACAGTATAAATAAAGTATATGACATTGGTTGACTGTGGTAAAAAGTCCATTAATTATATAATATCTATTGATTAATGTGGAACTTTATCTATTCCATTGTAGATTGTATCTGCAATTAATGCATTAAGTATTATGTCATAATGAAAGGGAACTGTAAACTCGATATTCCATGAAATGAAATATATATTGACTGTGTAATGAAATACTGAAGAAATATTTAAAACTGCAGTTCATACTATAAAAGTATTTTATGTTGGTATAAAATGATGTAGATTTTTCATATTATCAGATATTCACAGGTAAACTGCGATTGTTATTAAATGAAAAGTGTCAAAATGACAAAACTTAGTCAGAATTTTTGACCTCGATTCAGACAAATACATACTAATTGACAACCTTGCTATAAATATCTCTCTGAGTTGAAGGGATAAAAGTCAACACCAAGCAGATGTTCAGTAGCACTTGCTGTTGCATCAGAATTTTTTTTCCTTCACCTAATCACCTAGCAGGTAACAATGTCATTCTCTGTTGATCCATTGTGTTTACACAATACTTGGGTTAATAGTTCATATTTTCACTTTGAATTTCATGTAAGTGATAGATATAGTTTGGTTTTTAAAAGTAATGAATAAGGACTGAAAGGAATTGTAAATGTTTTGTGGACAGTGACAGCATCAATTTGCACAATTCTAAATTTTTGTCAGAGGCCTGTGAAAAAAAAAAGATTTATAACATCACTCAAGGCCCTTAGATATTATCAGCAGCTTTTGCAGTAGAGACGTCAAATGTTTAGTTTTACTGAACCACAGACGTCTGACTAAAAATTGAAATGATGCAAATAGCTGGTTTGTGTGTCCTTCTACCTTGATCTCATAAAGAGTTTAGAAACTCTTAACAATCCCTTTAACTTACACAGTACTTATATATCATTTTTTTTTATATTTCCCCTTTAAATGGATTGTGAAGAGGTTTTCTAAACTTTTTATATGTATCGGGAACACTGATATCATCGATATGCACCATTCCAATTTTCTTGCAACTCCACTAAAACTAAGTGTTTTATGACGTCGCTGTTACAAAAGCTGCTAATAATATCTAAGAAATTTGCGATAGTGACGTCATTAAAAGCTTAGTTTTAATGGTTTTATCAGAACCACTGACATTTGATTGAACATTTGAACTGTGCAAATTGATTTGTCAATGTCCCAAAAACACATAAAATATTAAGAAAATCTCTCTCAATCTCAATCTCAAAGATATTGTGTCTAAATTGTCACTATAAACAGGTTTGAGGCAAGTAATGTCATGCATCAGAAGGTTTTAATAATCAATGCAATAATAATATTTCTGTTTTTAAACTATTGTAATTTAAGTTGGAAATTGTTGGTTAATCAAGCAATTTTTCTCAGTCATAGACATTTAAAGGGGTATTCCGCTTTTTTGTAAAAAGTTTCATTATCACAAAGGTCATAAATTTTACCTGATATTTTTTCTAAAGTATATTATTTATATCTATATATCTTCTTCATCAAACTGAATGTGTTTTAAAAGGGTTAATTTAAAACGAAGAGTACCAATTGTTAATTAAGCAGTTTAACCTAGTTTTTGGTGTTGGGCTTTATAATGGCTCAATATTTTCAGTTGAAATCTATAGAATACATAGGAGACATATTTCTCTACAA